TTTCCACAAGGCTTTGGTCTGTAGTTTAACATTCTACCCCTATGTTCACAGAGAACACTGAACCAAAATTTCATTTCTGCTGCTATAAGAATGTTTCGCACAAAATTCCAAAGCTAAAAATTATGCCAACTTTCAGTGTTCTTTTACTTCACAGATCTTCAAGAGTTACACACAGGTTACTGTAGCTCTGCTTTGCATGCAAGACTTCAGTTGCTAAAGAATCTTTAGCAACTCAGGTTGACAATTGAGTTGAAAAACCCCAAACAATCTGTTGCTATTATGTCTGCAAATTAATTGCTGAAGTTCAAAACACAAAAAAGTGTCCTCAGTGCTTGGCAATGCTACTAAAGAAAAGCTGATATTGAAAAAAGAAAATGAAAGAAAAGGTATGATCTTAGGTTAAGGAAGGATCTGAAAGGCACGCACTCCAGCATACAGCATTAGCAGCAGTCAGGCCGCAGTATCACTGCTACACTACCACTGCAGCTGCATGCACAAACCTCAGAATGGATTCATGTTGAACGGATTCACGCTTTCAGAAGTTTCGCGCAGTGTTCACAATATTCTTCTGCTTGTTTCAGTCAGATTTCCTATTTACCCAGTTCAACAGTCAAAGCTCCCAGAAGCACTGATTTCCAAGATATTTTAGGAGGTCAATTGTGCTGGCTGGGATAAGAGCCATTTTAAGCAGATTCCTCTTAATAGTATCCATAATGAGACTAACTGTGTAACAGCATCCACCACAAGATTAACTGGTTTTGGCATCTGCCAACTGAAAAGAATAGTGCTAAAAAAACAACGTGACACATTTAAACGACAAGGAGTACTCTGCAGGTATTCATGGTATTTCACCTGCAACCAGGGTAATCAGGTATCTACTGTAGGGACTTAGCACGCTCATTATCGAGTCTTAGTTTTCAGCAACCTACACCTTTTAGGAACATGTATTTGTTAATCTGGCCACAGCATTTCTGATTTTCTTCCAGCCCAACAGACACCCTGCCATTGCATGCAGGAATCCGTACTACTTAGAGAACTGTGACTCCCAAGAGCCACCACTTTAGTGCAAGCAAGTCTGGGAAGCACTTCATCAGGTAAGGCAGCAAGCATGTCATTTTCACTGAAATTAACTCTGGCAATTAAAGCCAGTATAATCACCCACATTTGTCTTCAGATTTAGCCATTTACAAAGCTTTTCTGCCTGACATCAATAACAACAGCTCCCACCAGGGTTGCTAGAAATATGTCCATGTATTTCATGCTGTTCTACATCTCTAGGGAACCAAGAGGTATTTGCTATCCTAGAGATACAAGCGAAAACTACAAAAAAACACATGCAAGCACAAGGGATTTCACTTGCACCCCACTGCAAGTGAATAGACTGTCGAGCCAACTGAAAACACAACTCAGGCTTTAACCATCTATAGGCCAGCTCTGCAACACAAATGACCTTGAAGGAAAATATAATTTATTAAGAAGTTCAGAGAAAATGGGTATCAGTAGGTTAAAAAACCTTCATCAGTCAACAGCACTAAGCAGCAAAAAGCCAGCAGAGACAACCTTTTACTAGGTTTCAGGAAAAATCCTCCCAGAATTTTCTAGTTTACTTTCCATGAAGTGCTCTAATCTGGACTCAAAGTTTTGGCTCAAATATTTTGTAGTACGTTAGTTTACATACGTGTAACAGAGTATGAAAGCATCAGCACTTTTCCCCAAAACCCCTGCAATACTTCCTGTGCCATAACATGCTCCATAATTTTGGATGAGAAGTTGCATGCCATCTTTATATGCATCCGGCAAGCTTTCAAACTTTTCATTACACAAGACCCAACAACTCATCTTTTTTAAGTCAAGCAGCCCTGAAACTTGACTGCAAGATCACTGACTCCTCACTGAGAACCAAACTGATTTTTTAATACAAGTGCAGCGTTTCTGGAGACACGACTTAAAAGTACATCTTACAGAAGACCTTGAGAAGCTAGCATCAGAATGAGTGATTCAAAGAAGATAACCCCTAAGAGGCATGTTGTGCAACAAGCATTTACAAATCTGAAAATTCATTAACTTCCTGTTATGAAAAGTTAGGCCAAGTGCTCAGCACTGCGCCCGTCACCTAACTTTCCTAGTGAAATTCACTGAGGTTTGAGAACTGCTGTGTCGGGTTTTGAAGGAGGGAAAGGAGTCAACAACAATAGAGCACAGACTACCCAGAGAATTTGCATTCAGGGCGTGAGGGTCCAGATATCTTGACTTTGAATCTGGAGCCTAATAGTCAAAGGTAACACAGCATACAGCCACTGCTGGGAAAGAGGCCACCAGAATGCAGTTACTGTGGGGACATGAAAACATTGAACATAAACTAAGGAAACCCTTCCAATACAATTATTCTGCAGAAGCTTCCCACAGCACTTAGGACATCTTGAAGCAGCTGAACACACAAACTAAACTAATTCCTTTCCTTGCCTGGCCTGGTGCAATGCAAGATGGATACCAATAAAAGCAACAGGTTTAAGTTCAGTAATTTTTCCTATCTTATGCATTCAGAACCAGAATGACAAGAGCCAGACAGGTACTGGTACCAGGACACTAATGGCACAACAATAAACGCATATTGACTCATACACCCTGCGCTCTTTCAAGACTAATAGCAAAGTGCTGCACAAGAAAAGATGGATTACATATCCAAATGCAACTATTTCAAGTGAAAGCCTCTTATAAAGGCCAATCCGCTGCTCATGGTGATGCATCATTTAGTAAAGCCTACATATTAAATATTTTTTTTTAAAAAAACTCAGTTCAACAACTAATATTTACCTGAAGTTTTGTCTGCTTGTGGTTGATTTCTGAACTTTTTTCTGTACAAGAGAAGCTTCACACTGATAAGCAGGAAGGTACCCAGGCACCTCCATCTTAAGTATCATATTGACCTTCTCAAGAAGATCTGCTAACCAGTGAAATCAGTAAGCCATAGTTTTGTTTAACTAGAAGATGAACAAAACCCATTTATTCTCTCAAGTCTAGCACATTAACCAATGGCACTGTGCCACCACTAAGTAAAATAACGTTACAATCACTAAAAGATTCTTTTTCATGGCAGAAAAAAAACACACACCTAGTGCTCCAAGGCTGCTGACGGAATATCAAAGTAATTCAGATGTAGCA